ACATCAATGCAAGCACCCCAGTTCTGGGTCCAGTTTCTCCTACAGTTTGCTCCCTTGCTCATTGCTTTTTAGATTTCATTTAATGCTTACCCCACATTTGCCCTAGAACAGGGCTTACAAAATTAAAACTGATAAAGAAAACATTGATGAAAACACACAAAAGACTTACCGTTGTTAAAGTACAATGAAACTAACTATAATATTATAGTTGAAATAAAACCAAGTTGACACTTAGCCATTCAAAGAAAGCAATAAAGGCAGCACAACAAAAATCTATTGAAACCCTTTTCTTAGCAGTCTGTCAGTTGCTAAAATCCTGAAAGAATCATAATAGAAAATCTTTGCCTGATGGGGAAAGGGAGTAAGCAGCCTAATCTCCTTTGCAAGGGAAATTCATAGCCTGAGAGCAACCACTGAGAAGGCCATGTCTCATGTCACCATCAGATGTGCCTGGAAAAGGCCTTTTTTGAAGATCTCGCAGCATAAGTGCCAAGCTGTGTAGGGCTTTATGGATCATAACCAGTACTTTGCATTGGACCTGGAAACAGACCAGTAGGGAGCAGAGCTGTTTCAACAAGGGAGTTCTCTGCTCCCTGTAACTAGTGCTGGCTAACAGTCTGCCTGTGCAGGCCCGCTGAAGTTTCTGAGCACTTTTCAGAGATACAGCTCTATAAGAGTGTATTACAGTGATCCAAACAGGACATAACTATGGCAGACGTTATTCTGTATAGATCAGACATCTCCAGGAGCCTGTACAGTTACTTCACTAGCTTTACCTGTGCAGTTGCAATGGCCAGCTTGCTTCAGTGACAATATTTCTAGGACTGACAGTCCAGTGACCCAGTATGAATTTGTCTGAGCAACAGGGGGCAAGAGGAACAGAGTCCATCCTGACCTACTGTCACCCAGTCCTTGCCATATCTTGAGGTCTTTAGCCCCTGCACCCATTTTTTTCTTCCATCCTTTGCCTGCCTCTTGCCTGTCCTTTCCTCACATTTTTCCATCCTTCCTTTAGTCCCTTCATGGAGTTGAGCTCTAGAAGCACGAGAAGCAACACATCGCAGGGCGGAGAAAACCCCATCCATCTGCCAATGCAGTAAAAGTGCAACCATGTGCAAAAAGCTGCCACAGAGAAGGGCTGTATGGCTATAGGCAAGGTCGGCTCTGCTTGTAGTTTCATGGCATCTCTTCTGCTGCACTCGGAGTGCTGAGCAAGACTTGTGATCACAGCTGTTCTTGCTGAAAACTAATTAAGATTAATGCCAAGCTTCTCCTTTGTTATTCCCCAAGGAAAAATCTACTAACCATTCTGCTGTAGTCCTGCCCTTGCCACCTTTCAGAATTCCCACTACATCACTTTGGGGGGAAAAACATCTCATCGGGACAACTGGTGTTTACAAGTTCTGTGAAATGGACAGATATCTCGCTTCCCTATTAGAGAGTGATTTTTGCATTAAGGATATTAGTAGAACAAGACTCTGAAGATGCTATTCTACCAAAGATTTCTGAAAAGGGAGAAACCCCCAAGGACTAACATTACTATCAGTTCCATAGTATGAATTTGTTCTGTTCCTTTTCTGACACTGAAGACTTCCAAGGTATCCGCACTGCAGAAATAATCCAGTTCGACACCATTTTAATTGCCATGGATCAGTGCTATGGAATTCTGGGCATTGTAGTTTTGTGAGACATTTAGTCTTCTCTGTCTGAGAGCTCTGGTGCCACAATAAACTGTAATTCCCAGGATTCCATAGGATGGAACAATGACAGTTAAAGCAGTGTCAAAGTGCATTAATTCTGCAATGCAGATGCAGCCTCCATCTTTGCAGCTGCTTAGTGAGCAGGAGGAACCTGAGCTCTGCCAGAGTCAACATCTTGAGAAAAGAGACTGACGCGTTTAAGCACCAATTACTAAAAACTGACCTGTCCATAAGTCTCTTTAAAACTTGTCAATAGATTCCACATATGCTGGAACCACATTCATGTTTCCTGCTCTTGGGTGTTTCTATCCCTCTTGACTTTCTTTTATCCACGTAGAGCTGTCCATGGTCCTGCATTTTTGCCAGAACTCTTGCTCGGCTTTCTGAGATTCCCCTCTTTCAGCTTTCTCTTGGTTAGAAACTAGCAAATTTCTCTGGATTCTTTCATTCTCAGTGATAATGGCATTAGGCCCTGGCTTGGAAACTTTCCATGCCGTGCTGAAGCAGCACATGGTCAAGAACAATATGCATTATGAAAACACCAAGGTGAAACCATAGTGGTTAGTTCATTGTGAATACTTTGCTTCAGAGTGGCTGTGGAAGGCTGGCCAGAATGAACAGATTTTATTTGTGAAAAAATGGTAAAACAGATAAATCTCAATCTAAGTGTTTTGGTGAGTGCAGTGTTAATTATGGCATTTATTTCTGTTTTGGCTTAGGGTTTTGTTTTGGTTTTTACCCTCTTTTTACATAGAAACTTCAAATTAGTAGATCTCATCTCACAGACAAGGAGTGGGAAATGGAAAAGTGGGGTGGCCATTCCTCCCACTGGTCCACATTGACATATTTGAGCACAATGAAAGTGACACAACAATACTTCCGGATGCTATTTAGACTGAATTTTGAGCAACTTTTTCTTCTTCTCACGGTTGAGGTGGCTTGGGGAGGCAAATCATCACATTTCAGGCAGTTTGGGGACCTTTTGGCTGGTTTAGAGGGGTGAAATATATACTGAAAATTGGTCTGAAAAATATTAAAGTTATTGGCAGGGTCTGGGGGCTTTGGTAGGTTTCACAGGCCACAATTAGGAGATCACATTTTACCCACCCCAGTCTTAGACCCAGCATCCCCAATTTAAGAAGTTCTTCAGAAGTTTTGGCCTGCAACATCCATCAGCCCAGGTCACCATGGCTTATCATCAGAGAAGCTGGAAGCTGCAGCCCAAAATATCTAAAGTAGAGTTCCTAAAAGCCCAACCAGCAAACCAACGGTAAGGAATTATCAGAGCTGTAGTCCAAAACAGCTAGCAGGTCAAATTTCCACATCCTAATCTAAGGGGACATAGATTGGGGAAGATGCTATCAACTCATTCTTAACCTAAAAACCTCATTCACCCTACAGTATGGTAAGGACCAATAACTCTTTTAACTAGCAAATCTGCTTGCCTCCTTGTCCAGCAGAGAGCCAGCATGGTGTAGTGGCTTGAGTGTTGGACTAGGACACTGAGAGACCACCTCAGGCTAGTTACACTCTCTCAACCTCAGAGGACGGCAAGGGCAAACCCCTCTGAACAAATTCTGCCACATAAATCTTGTGAATGAGAGACCTCCAAGAGACCTTGCTATTAACAGCCTTGCTCAGGTGCTGCAAACTTCAAGTGCTGAAGAAAGTTTAAGGTAACCAGAAGTAGGGTTGTGCATGAAAGGATTGTTCTGATAACAAAATCAAATTTCTGTTCTCAGATATAGCTGAACATGCATTGTTTTTGGTTTGCACTTTTTTTTGGGGGGTGTGTGCACATCCGACTATGATAGATGGGCCTGAAGCTTCTAAAAAGCATAATATAGCTCCTGCAAACCAGAAGTCTGCCCACCTTGACCTAAAATATACTGAACAGAAGAGCACAACGTACTTTGCAAGTCATGGCTTGAAACAACAATCAAGCAGCCCTAAGGTTTGTTTTGACATCATCTCACTCAGCTAGAAAAGAGGATTGATAAGTAGTATGAGTATCTACGTGCATGCACAGACCCCCAACTCCCAAACCAGCACCACATGAGCGCACTCATGTTTTGAAATGATGCAAACACAATTCAGTAGTAGCAGTCTAAGGAGGAATATCAGGACCCAGCTGAAGAGAAGAAACACTCCACTGCCCAGCCTGAGGATGTTCCCATTACACTGATAACTTTGACTTCAGAAAGAAGGCAGGGAATTGGAGGAAAACAGAGCAAGAAACTATGCAGAGCAAAATTAAGGGACCAAGCTCTTGAAAGAAAAAGACCTTGGAAATGTTTAAGAGCCTTCTTAGTTGAAAGAGGATTCCAAATACTATGCAAACGTGTCCAGTGGGGATTCTTTAAATACTGTTTTGCACTCTCCTTTCCTTGACAGGTGGGAAGTCAGGTCAACCTTTACAGTGTCTTTTGGAAAAGAAAGCCCTGAAGCCTTAAAAAATTTCAGCTCCCATCTGTTTATTTTTAAAACATGCAAATTGCCCATCACTGTTGACAGGTGAGCTGTACTCATGGAGAGAAGGGCCTGTGTGTCATAGAGAACACTGGGGGTGTAATGCACCTCCATACTCACAATGCATCTCCTGGCAGCGGGTTCCAGATTTTGCTACTAGCATTATATTCCCAAACACAAAATGTTACAATGATCTATGGGGTGACTGGTGACCATTTCCTTCTACAACAGAAATGCAAGGGGACATACTGGGTGGTGCAAGAGGCAGGGGTCCAGGACATGACACCTTCCTGCATCATCCCAGTAGTGAGAAATAGCTGTACTGGATGATTCAAAGGTCCACCTAGAAGTTAGCTTTAAAAAGAAATAAATCTATAGTATTCAAGAACAAAAGCATAACCAAGCGCAAATCAACAGCTACTGTTGATAAAACCAGTAGCTACATGGGTCATGGGTGGAATTCATGTGGACTTCTGGATGTTGTGGGACTACAAGTCCCAGCAGCCCTCACTAGGGTATACAATGATGAGGAACACTGGCAATTATAGTCCAGCCACACCTGGCAGGCCACGAGATTTCCACTCTGATTTCTGTTCTGGAGCAGGTAGATGACCCAAAGGGAAGAGAACTCAAAGAAAATATCTGCAAAAATTTTCTGAAAAAAGACAAGACTCTGCTTAGAATTAAAAAAAATAAATAGAGAGGGTGCAGAGTGAGTCTCCTCTAGAAATGCATCAAGTAGCTCTGCCCAAAAGATCTGGAGCAGCACTTCTGTGAAACTTCTTAAAATTTAGGCAGGCTTGCTTAGAGGAAGGTATGTTTAGAGGGAGAACCAGAGTGGTATAGTGGTTTGAGCATTTGACTACAACTCTGGAGACCAGGGTTCGATTCCCTGCTCAGCCATGGAAACTCACTGGGTGACCTTAAATGAGTCATACACTCTCAGCCCCATAAAATACAATGGTAAGTTCACTTTAGGGTCACCATAAGTCAGAAATGATTTGAAGGCACACAACAGCAACAAATGTTTAGGGGGACACATCATGCTGCATGTCTGAAGCACCACCACAATGATCATAGGTAAAGCTGAGTGCCTGAGTGTGGACACATTAAAGGATCAGGGATCTGGTGGCACTCAAGCACGTATCTTACCTGGTGATGATAGCAAGATGAGGAGGGCTCATGCAAGCACCCATGAACAGTACCACATTCTCATGTCGTGTCTGCCTGTAGGCCATTACTTCTCTCTTGAAGGCCTTCAGTTGATCTTCATTATCCCGCTCAATGTCAATGAGGCGGATGGCCACCTCACCATGCCAGCGGCCATGAAACACCTGTCCAAAGCGGCCCTTGCCAATCAGCTCGCCAATCTCCAGCTGCTCAAAGGGGATGTCCCACTCTTGCAGGAAGATGCTGGTCTGGCTCGCTTTGCGTGGGAAGTTGCGGGCAGAGAGGAGTGACAGGTTCATCTCCTCAAAATCATCCTCCGATTCTTCATCATTTCCCTGTTCATTCTAGAGGTGAGATGAGAGAGGGACTCATTTTACGTTCACAGAACTTAACCTACCTTTCTTCTTCCTCTGGACATGGTCCTAGACATGCACATTAATGCATATCAACAACACAGCACGATCAAAGCCAGTGCTGCTACCAGGGCAAGACTTTAATGTCAAAGTCCAAGGTCCTACTCCATAGAATAAGCAGGAGGGACTCTCTAATGCAGCAAAGCTGGTTTATCACATTTTTAGCTAACTGAAGTCATGTGCATCATCCTTTAAAGAGGGATTCCCCCAAAAGACTATGAAGTCCTGAGTGTACAATTGCTACTCATCAAAAATACACACAAACACATAACTAAGCAATCCTAATCAGCGTCTGAGGAACCAGCCCCATATCAACCAGAGCTTGGACAAGTCTGTGGTAATCCCTCCCAAATCCACAAGCCACATCCCATGACTCTTCTATACCAGTTTAAGACAAACCTGGTTCCAGACATGTTGCAGGAATGAAGAATATATGGCCATTTAGGTATAGCTGAGTTGCAAATCCCAGTGGCTCTCGCCAGCATAACCAATAGTGAGAGAAGATACCATCCATAACATCTGGAGAGCCATAGTTACTCACTTTGTTCCACAGCCTAAGAATTCTAGCTGAGAAGGTTGTTCCAAAAAAGCAGTGTGCCAGTTTCTGCCCCATCCAAAGCAGTTTGAGAAGAACTCATATTGGCACAGTTGTAGTAATGGATTTTCTGCAAAAGCCTAATGTTGATTTTCTAAAAACACTTTTGGAAAGACCTGTGATTTGAGATTTCTTCTGAAGCAAAGAGCACATGACCTAGGGAGCCAGAGCCAGAAGCTGAGTGGAAGCAGCAAAGTCATAACAGGAGCTGGGAGTTTATGGGAGTTCATTCAAGAGATCAGAGTATTCTTTACAAATTTATTACCACTGGTAGCAATTCTGGCAGGCTTCCACAGAGGGAATGCAGGTTGAGGAGCAGGGACATTCCAGCAGCCCCACTGAAGAATTATTTGCTGTTTTCATCTTCACTCCCTAACCCTTTTTTTCCTCATGTATTGCATCTTATTAGGCTGAAAGCTATGGGGAGCAATAGGAGTTCTTTCCCCCGCCTTTTGTTTTCTTGACTTACTGTATGGAATCACTTTTCCAAGATCTGTACAGGATACTAAGGTAAAAGAATATCCAGAATCATAAGTGGGATTATAGGAGATAGCACTGTTTGGTCCTCCTTCAAATCAGGTGAGCCTGCTGGCACAGATTCTTTCAGAACTGAAGAACTCTGACTGACAATACTGTAGTAATCTTGGATGAAGCCACCAGTTCATGGACTGAAGTCTCAGTAACAGAGTCAGAACTGATGTCTTACTCTACACTAGTTTCATAGTCAACCTTAACACAGGAGTAACAGAGTAGTCATGAGGCATGCATGCATGCTGAAGTATCTGGTGATCTTTCATTTATTCCTTTTCTTTATTTTTATTTTTCTGATCTGGCCTGAGATGGTCAGGCTCTCCCTCTTCTGCCAGTGACTGTGCCTCTAGCATCTGTCCCAGGTATTTCTCATGCAGAATAGAAAGCCTTATGGGCTGCAAAGGATGGTCCCATCAGAACTGACTGCACAGATGGTACTGACAAAGATTCAACAAGCAGGGTAAAGAGTTGTTGACATTAACGGTAGCAATCTGGAGCAAATGGCAAAAGAAGTCATAAAGGCAGACTTTTTTAGCAGCAAGCTCAGCAATTTGTAGCTTTCTCCCAGCAGAGGGCTTTTAGGGGAAGCTCTGTTCTGCTCTGCCTATGGGGTGATGATTGGCAATGGCAACAAGAATCAACCTTATATTCTTTCCCAAGGTACAATAAAAAAAATGGCCATCCATATGTAGAATCCTACACCTAAAACACATATACTTCTCAAAAAACTTCTCTGAGGTCTTGAGAGCTCAAACAAGCTGGGAAAACACACAAAGAGAAAAACCTCAAGCACCTCACAAGTGAAGAAACTAAGATGACAATAAAATGAAATGAAGGGGAATAGTAAGAGAAGTAGAAGGAAGCCAAAAAACCACTTAGCTACTCACTTGAAAACAGAAAAGTGTTCCTCAAGATCCGTCTGCTACAACAGACAGAAAGTAACTGAAGGAGCTAGGCATTGTGTGTCCAGCTGGTCCAGAGGAGCCAGCAGTTTTAACAGCAAGAAGGTCACACCAAGGAGGACTCCGAACAGGACAACTCCAAACAAGCGCCTTACTCTGACGATAGCTGAGATGAATGAGGCTTCTTATACTGCTGGCCCAGACTACTTCCTCCAGGTTCCACCCTTTCCTTCTTTCTCTTTTTGTGAAATATTTTTATTACAACAACCACAAACATACAAAAAGTACACACACCTAACTAACTCAATCATCTAAAACTAAAAACACAAAAACACACAAAAAAGGGAACCAATGGCTTCCAGCACACCTGGCTATGGTTCTTATACATTACTTGTCTAACTCCTCTTAATTTAATCAAAAGTTAATATAATACTTAACACAATCTTAAAACCATGTTGTCTTACTATAGGGAAGAGTCCTCATCCAACATTTAATATAAGTATAAAAACTTTTAAAAAGACAAATCCTCTACTTGTATAGCACTCTTCTAAAAGCCTAAAACCATAACAGAACCTCCCTTATTTTTCATATATTTAACCAACATCTTCCGTTCTTTCTTATAATAATATAACGTTTTCTCATGTATCAACATATGAGTTTATCACACAGGAGGCTAAGTGCCCAAATCTTGTGCAGAAATGGGATTTAAATCCCGGAAAAATCCCACAAAAGTGGGATTGTTTTCAGACACATCAGGGGCATTGAGCATTAATCCACATTAACCATAAGTAGAAAAGCAAATTGTCCATTCTGCTCCATTCATAATGGCATGGTTTGTGGAGGCATGCAAAATATCCTCATGGCAAATACATCTGAAGCCCTGTTTGTTACAGAAAACTACATCTTAGCTGCTTTTCAAGACTGTGCTCTTACCAAGGTAAGGAATAATATCAGACAGGCACCTGTATATCTGATGTGGGAGAGAGTTCTGCAGAACAGAGAGCCATCATTGAAAAGGCTTGTTCTCTAATGCCCACCAGCTTTACAGATCTGAATGGATGGCCAGTCAATGGGCCATATTGGGAATGGGGGTGGTGGTGGAAGGCTGAGAAGAACAGGTTTAGTTGCAAATTGTTTCCTTTCCATCTACCCTCTAAAATAAGCACACAATTGACAACTAGAAGCCAGAGTGTGACTCAGAGACTCAAATTTGCCAAACAGTGACCTAAAGGGGCAGGAACACGGAAAACTGCCTTGTTGCAAATAAGTCCACTGGTTCCTCTAGCTCAGTATTCTCTAAACCAAGGATGAGGAGCATATGGCCCACCAGATGTTGCTGGACAACAAAGCTTATGATAGTGTTGGTAGAGGAGAAAGAGGAATGGAAGAGTGCTGTAGCTAAGTGGTAGTGCACAGGCTTTCAATGCAACAGGTCCCAGGTTCAATCCCTGGCATCTCCAAGCAAGGTTGGAAAGACTTCTGTATCTGAACACAGCTGTTGCCTGCCAGACTGGGCTAGAGATGGGGACATCGCATCCTCTCAGAGGTTTCTGAACTGCAACTCCTATCAAGTCTAGCAAGCTTAACCAACGATGTAGGATGATGAGAGCTGCAGTCCAGCAACCTCTGGAAGATCACACATTTGCCATCCCTGATCTATAGTGACTGGCAGCAGCTCTCTGGGGCTGATAATTCTAGGAGTCTTCCCAAACTCTACCTGTATGTGTGTATGTGCCTTCAAGTTGTCCTTCGACTTGTGGTGACTCCATGAATTTTACAGGGTTTTCTTAGGCAAGGAATACTCTGAGGTAGTTTTGCCATTTTCTTCCTCTGAAATATAGCCTGCAGCACCTGGTATTCACTGGCAGTCTCCCATCCAGGTACTAACCAGAGCTGACCCTGCTTAGCTTCCAAGATCAAATAGGATCTGGTGCTTTTATGGTATTCTGGGAACACATGTTTGCCAAGCATGTGCTTTACCACTCAGCTTTGGCCCACTCCTCACCTCACCTCACTATCCTAGAAGGCATGGAGGTTCAATATACAAGAAGGTCAATCCACTCAGACCACCAATTTGCAAAAAAAACAACAACAACCATGTAACAGAATACATTCTTCCAGATTAACCTTGTTGCAAAATTTCAAGCCAGCTGCTGTGAGATGTATATAGCACCATCATCTATTAAATATAACAGAGGCAATGGGAAGCTGTAATTGCTTGCAGGAGGAGTCAGAGATCCCCAAAGGAGCCCAAAAGTTGCTACTGTTGGTTAGGCCTCTGCTGAGATCACCATAACAAACTTCATTCCCTACAGTCTGCCTTTTATTTCAGTACAAGAACAGAAAGTCAGCAGATCTTTGCATGCAGCTTACCTCCGAGGTTGGCTCCACTTCAATTTGAAGTAATGGATTTCCTTCCAGGCTTTAAAGAAAAGAAACACTGCAGATTACTAAGACTTGAAAGCCAGAAGCAATGTTGTTTAATAATTGGCATGGACAAGAGGACCATGACCTTAAACCAGACTTGCTCTTGTCTAGTCACCTATGGTGAGTAAGAAGCAGCCTCAGGCAAACAGACAGAGGAGCTTTCATACAGGGAGAGTGTTGATGTTTCCTCTCCTCTTTCTAAACATTGTAAGCATGTGTGGCCAGTTGGACCTGCATTTTTTTTCTGTGTGTGAACCAGTTACTGTTATGGAAATACAAACTGCCTTAGACTGAGGGCAGTGCAATGTGACCGTCAAAGTTTTCTTTTGCAATGTCAAAGAATGACAGAATTCTTACAGCCTTCAACAATCCAAGCAGTCATTGCTGCAAAATTTCAAAAACACATACCTTTTGTGTTTCAGGGGGAAAAAATAACTCTGTGCTATAATGCACATTATTGCCAAAGCAGATTTAAGTGTGCCAAACAGCAACAATAAATTCTGAGCTCTCTACAACTAGAATCCCTAAACCAAATATTCATTTCTTATGAGTCTGCTTGATGGGAGGCCAGTCCAAATACCATCTTTGGCATTGATAATGATGATGACAATGATCCCAGAGATGCATAGCACTGAGCCATGGAAGTTAAAGTGGTGTCAAACTGGATTATATCTGCAGTATGGATGCAGCCCTAGTCACAAAAGAGGAAAATTGAGAGGATGAAGATTGGACACCCTCTTGGGCATCCCAACTCACCTGTGGAGACAAGTTCTGATGCTGACACTAGTCTTGCTTCCAGAGCTGTCCTTAGAAAGGTTCTCAGATTATATCTTTCCTTGCACATGAGCTATTCGGTTTAACCATAGTGAAATATATGTGATTGCAGATTCAATTTTTCACTTGTGTTTTATTGATTGTCAGCTAATCTCCTGGATGGCTATAACCAGAGATTGTGGAAACAGCCCAGGCATCAGCAGTATGAGGCTTTCCACCTAATATTCTTTCTCTTCTTCTCTCCAGTCTGTATTTCTGGGGCAAAGGGGAGTTTAGAGTAAGACAGAGGTCACCTTCAAAGTAAATGTGAATTTAGCCCCCATGGTCCTCAATGAGCACTGTTTCTGGACAAAGTGGTGATGCACACTGGACTAAATATGAAGGCATTTCCAGTTTGGGACTGGGATATTTTTGGCACCCAAAGCAAACAAATAAAGCAAAATAATCCTGCACTGGCCTCAAATTCAGTATATAGAGAAGAAGGCCAGAGGCAGGCAGTTGCAATAATGTGGTATGTTGTGGGCAAATACTTACAGGTAGCTAATAGGTTGCTCTATATTTTGCCTTGTAGGGCAAATATAGCTCAGAAAGGGCATATTTTAATCACACAGAATAACGTGTTGAGAAAAGGGCAACCTTTTCCTCAATGCTCCAGTCCTGATCAGTATTAACATTTTTTTTAAAAAATATAGAGAGATCCTATTTATGGCTCTTCTGTCCATGCCATGTCTAGTTTAAGAGGAAAAGAATAGATGTTATATAGAGAGATTTTATAACACCTTTAAGACTAACTGAAAGAAAGTCAGCATGAGCTTTCGTAGACTCCAGTCTACTTCTTCAGATGCTTTTGGTGGAATTATGGTTAGAATAAAACTGAGGAACCTGCTGCTATTACCCTAATGTCATGTACAGGGCAAGAGGCCAGAGGAAGGACAGCAGGACGAGGGCAAACCAAAATGGAAAGAGTGATGGAAGAAGAGCAGGAAGGAATCCATCAGTTCAAATTTCAGGCAAGAGTAGCAAGAATTATCTCTCTCTCTTGGAGGAGGTAGCAAGGGAAGGTCTGAAGGATAGAGCAGAAAGAAAGGAAGAAAGAAGGGACTGGTGGAAAGGAAGAGAAAAAAAGTTAGCTTAGGAAAAGGGGATCTCTGGGGCTAGATAAGGAGTTGTTGTTGTGTGCCTTCAAGTTGTTTTTCCCGACTTACAGTGACCCTAAGGCAAGCCTACCATGGGGCTTTCTTGGCAAGATTTGTTCAGAGGAAGTTTGCAATTGCCTTCCCCTGTGGCTGAGAGCATATGACTTGCCCAAGGTCACCCAGTGGGTTTCATGGCCAAGCTGGGATTCGAACCCTGTTCTCCAGAGTCAGAGTCCAATGCTCAAACCACTACGCTGTGCAGGTTTAAATTCTCACTCAGCCCCAGAGTGCAGTGACATTACACCAGTGACTCCTCATTGGCAGGATTTGAAGATATAGCCATGTTAGTCTGTAAAATCAGTATGTAGCACCTTTGAGACTAACTGAAAGAAAGAAGTTGGCAACATGAGCTTCCGTAGTCTATGAAACTTATGCTGCAACTTCTTTCTTTCAGTAAGGTGCTGCAAGATCTCTTTACATCTACATCAGCAGGGTTATTCTAAGGATAAAATGAGATAGGGAGAACCATATAAAGATGGGATAGAAAGTTACTAAGTAAAATAAAATAACTCAGATCAGAGATGGCAATAAGGATGGTGATGGTGCATGAATCTGTCTTTTTTTTCTACCTCTGCACTTGTTAGTATGCTTGAGCTGTTCCCAGGAGGCCGTGACTGCTAAGTGCAACATGCTGCAGCCCAGGGGGATCTGTCACAGCCAAAATGACAGATTAAGCTTGTATGAGAAGCAGGAATTCTCCAGCAAAATCTTCCACACGCTCTCCAAAAAACAAAGGGGAAAAAATGATCCAACATCAAGACATCGGCAAAACTTCAAGAATCGAACCAAACCCAAGCCACTCCCTGAAGAGAAAAATCTTCAACTAAGGTGGAGCAGAAAGCATTCAAAACCAATCCTCGGCCATCAAGGGTATTTCAGAAAGGAAGCACAAGTAAGCAAGAGAGCAAATCTGGAATTCATTTGCTTGTCAATTACACAAACATCGACAAAGTCTGAATTGGCTTCTGTAAGGACTGGGTGCAGGAGAGAAATGCAATCATTTTTTCCATAGAGGAATCAGGTTGGCAATTCATGCTAAGCCCCAAGTTCGAGCGATCAAGGATTCTTTAATCTCCTGTAAGTAAACGGCTGCCACTCTGAGCTTTCTTCCTTCTCAGAAGTCAATTACTCTTGCCTAAAAGCCTGGTAAGAGACTTTCCAATGGGACTGACAGGCCTGTCACGTCCCACATCATACACTCTTCCCCATTAGGTGCTAAGTTTGACCTCTGCAACGCAACAGCACCCTTTGCAAGTTCCAAGCAGAACAAAAAACCAAGGATCCATCCATTCAGCTCTGTTCTGCCGCTTCTTCTCAGGATGTTTGAAAATAAAAATTTGAAACAGCATTGGGTATGTGACTGAAATTCACACACACACCATTGTAACACAGTAAGACCTTTCCTTATGTATGTGCTCATGCTTTCTTGCTCACAGCCCCATTCTATGACATTGGGATCTGGGGTGCTGGAGAAGTCTGAAGAAGTCATTTTAAAACAGTCCCTTTTTATATCAGCTGGCTTAATAAACAGTTTTGCCTGACTTGAAGTTTTATATTAGACAAATGTTCTTCTGAAACGACACATTTCCCCCCTTTCTTGCCAAACACATCTGAACAAGAGATTTCCTCTAGCAAAGGCAAGACTAATAAGGGTGCCTCCAGACTGATTTAAAAGTTCCAGATTTTGTTCCTGGTCTTTCCAATTTTACTGTTGTACTTGTGGGCCTTCAAGTCATTTCTGACTTATGGTGACCCTGTCATGAGGTTTGCCTGGCACGTTTCTTCCGAGGGGGTTTGTCATTGCTATTCTCTGAGGCCGAGAGTGTGAGACTTGCCCAAGTCACCCAGTGGGTTTCCATGGCCAAACCGGGATTTGAACCCTGGTCTCCAGAGACATAGTCCAACAGTCAAACCACTACACCACACTGGCACTCTCCAATTTTATACCAGGTTAAAATAAAGCGACCTGAGGAGCTGGTATAAAAAGTCTCAGATTGTACTGAGAGCTGACGGAAAATATTCAGGGATACAAAATGTGTATAGATCTGTAAAATACAATTGGA